GGGGACCTTCAAACCTCGGCAGGTTTGGAGGCTGGGAGAGGCCCTGTTGTGCTCTTCCATCGGGCATGAGCATGGACTCCGAATCAGCAAATACTGGGTATTGGGTACATGAATAACTACACTAGAGTTGGTTAATCTACCTGTGTAAAGTTACTCAAAAGCATAAATATTTGCAAGTATAGTGTTTTCCTCTCAATATTTTACATCCGTCTTTTTCAAGATCCGTATATTTACTCCTCTTTACTCAGAGCATGTCTTTTCTCACGAGTTCTGCTGTCCTGTACATGCTATCCAGTTCGTACCAGTGTTGTCTTTTCAGGACACTGAATAAGAGGAATTTTGGTCAGTCTTGGCTCTGATGCCGGAGCTGTGGCTGAACAAACACGGTTCACTCATCACTGGTGGATGGGTGCCAGAACTCACATCCTCCACAGCACTGTTCCCAGTAACTGTGTGTGCAGCCGGCTTTCTCAGCCATCTGGGACGTGCTCCGTTCGTGCCACCCCGCTCTGTGCCACCACTGCAGCGTGGCCTGGCTGGAAGGGAGGTGATTGCCACTGCTGCTCCTCAGGGGACATCACTGCTTGATGCTGGGGACAGCACTGCTTCACATCTCACAGAGGGCTGCTGGCAGCAGTCAGGGTGATGAAGGTGCCCGAGGAGCCAATCCCACAGCCATTCTGGAGGAACCCCAGAAGATCTCTGCTGTGGCCAGAGCTCATCCCCTCAGTGCTGGCCGTGGTGAGGTCCTTTCCCCCTGTACTGCAGCTCATACTCTTCATGGGGAGAGCTGGCAGGGAAGGGGCTGTGGCTGCCCATGCAGGAGAGCAGAGCCCTTGCCCTGGCATCTCCAGCCCCAAAGCACCTCTAGGGAGCAGCCAAACCTTCTCCTCAGTCAGAAGCTGGACTAAAATAGGAGATGGTGGTCGAGCCCCACCCTCTTTACATTTCAAGCATTTTGTAACAGCAAAATCTGTCCCTTCCCAGACACCACCTCAGAAAAGTGACAGTGCACAGGTTTCTACGCTTCCAGCTGGGAACAGGCAAAACACAGAGTCCTGGGGCTACCACAGGGGCACTGGACCAGTGCTGCTGCACATGCTGCACCCAAGGGCAGTGGGAACTCCCAGCAAGCCCTGGTCAGACTTAGCCATCAAAAACACAGGGGGAAAAAGCTGTAAAGGATCCTGCATCCTCATCCTGCCTGTAAGCTGGGATGCAGGAGGATTGTTTTTTAATAAAGAGATCCCAAAGCATTTCAGGGAGCAACATGATCTCAAGAAGAGACAGGGGGATATTTTGGGAGCTCACTGTAGTCAGAACCCCTAGACCGCCCATCAGGTTTCACTGCATTTTTTCATTTCATTTTACTTTGAGTTGAATCTTTTGTTCTTATTCAACCAGGCTGTGTAACATTTCCTGCGGGGAAATTAGCTCACTGCTTTCCTACTGCAGTCCTGCTTGGTTTTGGCTGACTGTTGGATGCTCCACAGTGGGTGTCATAGCTGGTGGGCCAGGCTGCAGCCCAGCGTGGGCATGCCACAGGCAGACCCTGTGCTGCACTTTGAGGTCCTGCCACAGCAGCACTGACAGTTCCTTTTATCCCTTTTGGTTTGGCCATGATACAGAGAAAGTGTGTGATTTTGGCCAAGGTTAAAAGGTTAAAGTTTTGAATTTAGCTGGAGTGAAACAGCACACAGCACCTCTGCACCTTGGCTTTGGGGCAGCACACACTCAAGTGGCAGCCCAGAGGCTGGAGCCTGCAGCTGGCAGCACAGCTTACATATCTGCTGCCCACCTCTCAGCACTGTCCCCCCACTGCCAGCTCAGCCTCCCTGCAACTGCAGCCCTGGCAGTTTAGTGAGGCCATGTGACCCCAAGATGGAGTGGAGAGGGATTTTTAGAAGTGCCAGTGCCTCTGTGAGTACTGACACCTTCAGCTAGTGCAGGACACCACAAAGTAGCCACACACTCTGCTCAATATTTCTAATACTATGGACCATCATATTTGGCTATAACCCTATAACCAACTCTCCTTGACAGAACCAGTGCTGCTCAGCACACACCAACTGCTGTCTGTAAAAGCATTTTTTAAATTGTTCATGAATTTCCTGACAGTGGCAAACCCCACGTCAAGGCTCCCAAACCGCCTCCAAGCCCTCATGCAGGCAGGTGCCAACATCTCTCTGTGGGCACCGAGGGCACCCCTGGCACTGGCTGCACCCCGGGGGACCAGGAGGAGTGAGTGTGTGCTGGGGGAGCCTGGGACAGGGTGGTTCAGAGCTTGGTGGGCAAAGGTGAGCCGAGTCCTGGGCTGCCAGCTCTAACTCCTCTCTCTAAGGAGGGGGTGACACCCATCAGACACTCCAAAAGCCATCTGCTGTGGGGGCAGGGGAGGCACTTACCCGCTCACACAGGTCAGTGTCCCACTGATGCCTTCAACTGCTTTTCCCAGGCCTCACATGGGAACCAGCTCTGCCTGGCAGCTGACTTCCTCCATCCCTGATACACACATTTAGGAAAATATTGTTTGCTAGTGTATTCACTACCCAGAGCGTCATCCTCACAGGGCACCAGTGAGCAATGCCTGGAAAGTTTCAAAACAGCCTTCTCAGAAATTGCTCTGAACATTGTTTCAGGGACCCACTCTGGAACATATGAAGTGATTTGGAAAAGGCAGTTTCTTGGTCTATTTCCCCTTTACTTTCCTATCCCATAGTTGTTACTAAACACTAGATAGCTTAAAATATTTGTATTTCAGTCCCATTTCAGTCATGATGTACAGGATACCAATATACATTGACACTGCCAGAGATAACTGATTTATGTAGCACCCAGTGGTGGATTTGGCCAGGGCAGGCATCTGGCCTTCCCCCCCATAAAAAGGTTCAGGGCATCCCTCACCTGGAGGGATAGTCCAGAAGGAGGGACTGTCACCAGCCACCTCCATGACAAGGGAAGCAGGGCCCATGACCTGCTGGGGTCACAGGGAGCTGATGGCCCAGGGTACACAGGGCACTGGCACTGTTTAGTGGCACAGGGATGAAATCTGGCCTTGTGAGCCCTGTTTCAAGGCCCCACAGCCAGGACCAACCCTGTTTGTTTTGCAGAGACACTCCAGGACTGAGGCACTACTGCTAATGCACCAAATGGAGGGCAGAGAGAATGCCATGCGGGTAATTACCAAGGAGAGCCACACAGCCAGAGCCTCAGATTATGAGTAATGGCCACAGTGCGGTGGAAACCTTTGCTTGAATAATTTTGAATGATGAACACATTTGAGGAAATAATGTTTTCTTTGCAGACCTCCTTTGATGAAATGCTATGGTTTGCTTTGCTTTCTCCCTCAGGGCACTGCTGTCCCCCCAGCTCCAGCCACCCACTGCCGCTGGCAGGGCAGAGGGAGCTGGACAGAGCAGCACACTGCTTACTGCTTGTCCGTGGCCTTCCCTGTGGATACACGCAGGGAAAACCCATGGATGTGGCTATCAGGGTTGTGAAGCTGCTGTTCCACGACCACGCCAGAAGCAGATGTAGTTCTGACACTTGGTGTTTGCACGAAGGAATGCCAGGGAGTCAGTTCATAGGTGACCATTTGGCAGCGGCACTGGGAAGCTGGTCACAGTTCAGCAGCCCCTTCTCCATTTGGCCATGCAGGACTCCAGAAACACAGCTCTGGTCTTCCAGGTCCTGAAAGCAGGTCTACAGCCAGCATCCCTTCTTAAACCGAAAGAAGTAATTCACACACTGGTTAAATGGCTGCAGCCAGGGATCTCACGCCCCCGTCCAGCCCTGAGCTGTCCCCGTGGTCAGCAGCACTGGGGGACACAAGGGGCCCCATCCACTCCTGCAAGAGCACATCAGCTTCCTCCGTGGCAGTTCCCAGGCCAGCTGGCAGCATTAGATGTTGCTGCTTGGCTCCTTGGCTACTGCAGCTTGTGCATATTAGCAACCCAGTGAGTTTCCCATCCGTCTGACAGGACCCAGTGTAGACAACGATGCCAAAGTCGGTCGTAACTGGACAATTACACTATCGCTGGGAGACCAGAAAAATTTCAATCCAAATATCCTTAATGAAGGACCAGTAGGAACAACAAGAGGCTCCCCAGTCTCACCTGTCTGTCCTCAAATGCAAGGCCACTGCCCCAATGACATCATGACACCCTCAGGGGAGAGCAGGATCCAGCCAGACAAATCCCACAGCTGGGGCTCATGGCCAGAAATGGGGGTACAAGCTCAGAAATGGGGTCTCCATGGGAAAACCTAAACCCACCATGGCAGACTGTCGATGCAGAAGCCCCAGCTGACAGCAGGTCCGAGTCTCAGGTTGGTGAGGTGCAGGTTGAGCCTCCTGTGCAGGCAGGGACAGGGCTGCACACTCAGCACCTGCCTGGTGTCCTCCCAGCTTTACCCACACTTGAAACATCCCGTCTATAGGATCCCTTTAGGAAAACACAGTGAACAATCTTTACAAGGAGAGAGATAAAAGAGACACGAAGTACATCAGACAGTTCCCTCAGAAAGCTCTCAGCATTGCTGGGAAGTGCAGGCAGATGGGTACGGTTTGCCGGGAGAACTACAAATCCCCATCACCACTAATGAGCAGCCAGTCTGTGAATACGTAATTTGACGTGGTGTTTTATTTTCTTTCCAGCTTTGAATTTACCCTACCTAGATTTTAAGGGTTTTGTTCCACAATGACAGGCCTGTGGATCATCCCGAGAGTCCAGATCCTGCTGTCCTGCTGCAGAATCCTTCGCTCCTGGCTGACCACAGGGAGGTGGGCAAAGCTTTGCCTTCAGGGGGTGTGTGTGTGCCTCAGCAACGGATAATGAGCTGACATTAGCCACAGAAGGGCTCGTCCAGCTCCTTTCTACCCCGAGGATGCTTGTGCCAAGCGCAGCTTTCATATGGAAAGTGGTGCATTGTTTAAATGTAAATGTTTCAAGAACAGCGATTTGTGAGACAGGAAAAATAAAATCTCACCTGAGTTGAGTGGCACGGTCTGCTCACAGAGGTCCTTTTTTGCGTCACAGATCTTGTTGTAGGACACTCTGCTCCCTCCATCTCTTGGGTAGCTGTGGGATTTATTACACAGTTAATTTATCTATAAATATATACTCATAAATTTATACTTGCCTGGTAATCTCATTTCTGTGCTGTTCCATCTCTCCTGGCAATCCCATCTTCCCAGGAGGGGAGGAACCAGTGCCTCAACCATGCCAGGAGCTTAAATGGGCTCCTGGGCCCATGGAGGGAAGTGGTGTGTGTGTTTGTGTGTATGGTCCCAGATGGAGCTGGTCAGGACCATTAGGGCAATTAGTGCCCTCGGCTCTAGCTGGAGGTTCCTAGAAACCCTGCATCACCCACAAGTGTGATGATCTGTGCCTGTTCTCAGCAGGTCAGAGGCCGTTGGGTATTGCTGTGACAGTTCCTTGAAGGAAATGCCTCGTCCGGTCCTGCCCCGTGTATTGCTCTCTCCATCCCATAAGTGACAGTAAACACCATCCACATTATGATGACACTGGCAGAAGAGCTGCCGCAGGGTTGCCTCCTGCTTTCTGCTTTCCAGGCAGAGGCCAGCAGCAAGAGATCAAAAACTGATTTTCTGTTGCTTCAGAGATGTGTGGGCTCAATGAGCCAACAAACCCCGCGGCACCGGGCCCTGCTTAGCGCCCGAGAGCAAATCACCGACAGGATGCTGCGGGTGAACCTGCTGCACTCCTGGCCCAGGGACCTGGCGTCACTAAACCTGGAAGACACAGGTCTCCAAAATGTTAAATTTGCTGAAATATTCATGTTGCAAATACAGATGGTATAAAATCTTCAGCGAGGCTACAGCCTGCACATTCACTTCTGTCAGCTCCAGCATCGCCAGTGGGTGAGCCAGAGCCACTTTGCTTGAGATGGCAAGGAGGGGACACAGGGTGTGCAATGGGTTTAGGTGACACCAGTTCCTTGCATACATTACTGATTCCAAGAAAAACCCCTCCCTGCTCTGGCACAGCATTAACTGCTCTTGCTATTGCACTGCTGGAAGCCAGTCAAGGCTGAGGCATCATTTCCACAACAGAAGGTGCAACAAGCAAACCAGCATTAATCCTGAATAAGGGATCCAAGGGTGTCAGGGACAGCCTTCTCCTGCTCCTGGGGAATGTACCACCCTGGAAAAAGCAGGGAGACCCTGCCCATGGCAGCATTTGGATCAGAGCAGCAGAACTGTCCTTTGCAGGGATTGTATTCTGCTCTGTGGTGGGAGAAAAGCCCCTGTCCCAGGAGGATGGGGTGGGAGGGAAGGCTCCTGCAGGACCCTACTCCCTGACTCTTTCTGAAACCTCTTCTTGAAGAGCACCTGCAGTCATCTCCCAGTTTGGAGCCCCATAAACTGGAGCAGCAGCACATGGAGCAGCAGGGCTTTCCCTGCACCCCAAAATGTGCAGAGATGCACCTCCCTCAGTGACCAGACTCCCACCATTAGCCAGAAATCTCTTATTTAAGAGGAAGCAATATTTTCCCTAAACTCCATAATCATCTGACAAAATGGGGGAGCAAATTTCAAACTGTCTTGCTTAGATCCTTCCTGCTTCATCAGTATTGTTGCAGGAGAAACAGTGAATCCAACCCAGATCTGTTGCAGTGAGGTGGAGTTGAGCCAGTCCAAGCTAGCACAGGACTTTGTATTGGAGTTATAGAACCAAACGCCCTCTTCCTACAGGCAGAAATGCCTCCAAGGCCTACCCCATAGAATCATAGAATGTTTTGGGTTGGAAGGGACCTTGAAGACCATCCAACTCCAACCATCAGCCATGAGCAGGGACACCTTCCACTAGACCAGGTTGCTCCAAGCCCCATCTACTCTGGCCTTGAACATTTCCAAGCCAGATTGTCACCCCATAGTGACTTAAGTTTTTTAAGAACTCCATAACAAGGATGAACCTCCACATGCCTGCATCGGGGTCACTCCCTTCCTACCACAGTGTCACCTGGCCAGAGGTATCATCACAGAATCATTTAGGTCAGAAAAGACCTCCCAGATAGAGTCCAACCTTTGACCAATCACTACCTTGTCAACTACACCAGAGCACTGAGTGCCATGGCCAGTTGTATCTTGAACACCTCCAGGGATGGTGACTCCACCAGCTCCCTGAGCAGCCCCTTCCAATGCCTGGCCACCTTTTCTCTGAAGAAATTCCTTCTGATGTCCAACCTAAACCTTCCCTGTCTTGAGGCCGTGTCTTCTTGTCCTGTCCCTGGTTGCCTGGGAGAAGAGGCAACCCCCACCTTGCTACGACCTCCTCTCACATAGTTGTAGAGAGGAAGGTCTCCCCTCAGCCTCCTTTTCTCCAGGATCCTGTCCATGAGAAAAAATCTGGTTCACTCCCCCTAACATCTCAGTGAGCTGAAAGAGTCACCAGTTCAGGAGACAGCTTTGATGGAAACAACGGTGAGCAGCAAACTGGAGATACTCCTACCAAATAGGTTCCCAAGTTTAATGAGATGCTTGAGGATGCATCCATCCACCAAGAGAGATTTCCTTACACACGGGCTGCCCTGTTCACCCCTGCAAAGACCCCTGTGGTGTTTGTGGGGTGAACGGGGCAGCCCATGTGTGGGGGCCATGGGTGCATGGGGGGCATGGCAGCTCCAGCTGCCTGTGCCTCACTGCCCTTGTGCAGTTGTCTGCCAGTTGTGTGTGCCGATTGCTATGAATGCCACCATCTGGTGTGCCACGTGGACATCATAATCTTTTCTTAATTACATTAGCAGTGCAATCAGTTACTGCATTACAAGGCCGGCGATGAGCTTTTAAATCTTGGTGGAAATCATAAATAATTGCACTAAGTACCAGGCGCCAGATGTGAGTGCCAACTTCAGTTGCTCTAGATAAATAGTAACCTTACAACAGTGTTAGATAACGGTCCAGTCACTGGTTTTCATGGCTTAACAGTGGCTGCACTCCCATTTTTTTCCAGGCAAGATCTATCCCCAGTGGTAGATTTTAAAATAAAAATAGAAAAAACACAAGCCATAAACAGGATTTTTTCAAATTTTAAAAATAAGAGCAATGTGGAAGAAAAATATGTTCTGATTTAACATGGTGGAGTGAGTGGGTGTCAGGCAGCCCCCCTCACCATAAGTCCCTCATGATGCTGATAGGGGTCAGCCAAAATCCAGCAGAACTGGGGGACACCTGGAGGTACAGACATGGCAGCAGCTGCAGTGGGAATGGCCCTGGTGGATCGTCCTGGGGTGAGAGGGGTTCCATGGGGCAGGGCTGCTTGGCCTCACCCCTGGCCCAGCTGTGCTGAAAAACTGCCTCCTTTCGGGAAAATTTGGGATTTTTTTGTAAAAAGAGGAGTCCTGAATCACTGACAACCTCTTTTGCCAGTTTCTTTGGAGTCAGGTAATTCACTGAAATTCACTGAAATGATCCTGCCCACAACGAATGTCTGGCCCAAAGGAAGACCCCGCATCATGCAAGCAGAAGAGCCTCACACGAGGTCCTGCATCCCAAATGGGCACCATCCCACTGTCCTGCTCCTAGGAAAGCACGTGGATGCCAGGTGGCAGCAGGCACCAAGGGTGGCTTTGCCATGGCCATCCGTGCCCGCCGCCAGGAGCGGCAGCAGAGGGGAAGAGGCAGCTCCTGCCCATGAGTGCCAGCACAGCTCTGTGGATCCACTGCCATTTGGGAGCCATCCCATGCCTTGTGCACCCCCAGGAGCTGCTGGCTCCTTGCACATGGCCAGCTCTGTGCCAGCCCCACTTGCACCCAGTGCAGCCCCTGCATCTCCAAGTGTTTATAGCATTGCCTGGAGATGGCAGCAGTGCCAGGGCCAGGCTGTGACAGTGCTGTCAGGGTGACACAGCCTGGCCCCAGGGCTGCTGCCCCTGTGAAGCTGGTACAGGTGGAATGCTCACCCCTTCACTGCATCCTGGGGGTTGTGGACGGGTCCTGTCCGGTGTCACATCGAGATCCATCCAGAAGGAGAACAGGAGCCAGTACCCTTGCAGTGTTTAAATAAGCAAAGTTTTTGTGCAAAGCAGAGGTTAATGTACTTTATTGTTCAATGTCATGTTTATAGTGGATTCTTGGAGGGAAAAAATGTGATTAATTGCCCAGAAACCCATGGATCTACAATTATTTGGTTGTTGTGAACAAATAAAGGGCTACAGTATTCATCATATTCAAATGAGGCAGTAAAATAAATGATGGCATGCCGTTTATGAACAAAACCTCGTCGTGTTCCCTCACAATCTGAAAATGTACTCGAAAAATTGTAAATGAGATACAGCCATTGTCGAGGGCTCACTGGTGATTTGTCTTTGTGTAATGTTTTGCAGTGCTGACCCATCACTTGCCTGTTTTAATTTATGTCACAATATGCACCTTCATTATGCACTTTATGAAAACGAAGTGCCAATTTGTAATAAAGACTTGTTTTCAATGAAATCTCCTCTTTTTGGTAGGTGTTCTGCTTTTCATTAGCACCCATTTCACCAGACCTAGTTAAAGAGCACAGGTACAGACTAAATATGTCCGATCATTCATCATAATTTTGCTTTCCACTTTGTCACAGCTTGGGTATTTAAGGAAGATAGATGATACAAGATGTTGTCTCCTTTTCAGACTCTTTATGCTCTGGTAAGTGTGTCCGATGCAGAATTATTTTGCCACTTTATTATTTTCTAGTGAGTGTTTGTCACAGCCCGCTCTGCCTCTGGTGCGGTGCCGGTGTTTGCTGTCACTCACCGCCGGCCACGCAGGGCTCAGGCAGCTGCTCCTCACTGCCAATGGCTCCGGGCAGAGCTCAGCCCACTCTGTGCTGCTGCTGCTGCTGCCTGGCTATGGTTGAAGCTGAAACCTCGGTGCCTGTTCCACAGGGACCTGTTTCTCCTCACCTTGGGCAGCCATGTGCAGGTGACAGTAGCACCCTCAGGCAGCTCTGCCTGACTGGGGTGATCATGGTGCTGGGACTGCTGTGGAATGGGCTGGACATCGGGCAGCAAAGGGATGGGATGTCCACCTCAATGTCCATTCCACATCCTGCCCAGATGCCCTTTTCTGTCCAGCAAGACTCCATCCCTTCGTGCTTCCCTCTGGCCCTGAGCCACAGATGACGGGTCTGATGGTGGTCCCTCGTTTCTCCAAGGGCAGTCGAGTGCCAAGTTCTGAGGTTTGTGGTTTGGGATTGCTGGGGCCTGGGAGACAGCTCAGCTCCGGGCTGCTGCATCTGGTACAGGAGCAGACGAGTGCCCCTCGCCCAGGCACCGGCACCGCAGCTCTCGGAGCAGCCCTGG